CCAGATGCTGCAGGATGAAGTGTAGGGCCATGTTGATGGCGTCGTCTACAGACCTGTTGGGTCTATATGAAGCCGTCTCTGCTAACTGCATTTACAGGCATCATGTCTTTGTCAAAAATGTGTAATGGCCTCTGTTATTTCTTTGTAGCGCTTCGACGTTTTCTCATACGGAGTTCCACTTGAAAAACTCTGATACAGAGACGGCTGTTGCTGCGGCGCTCTTTGTCTTAACATTAGCAACATTAGCTAGCCCGGTCTTTCTGGAACTCTTCAAACTGTTCTCTGTGGTTGTTGAAGATGATGGTGGAGATCAGTCGTGTTTCCTCTGGTGGTTGCCACGAATGTTCGGCAAGTGTTGCAGAGCACCTGTGTTTGGAGAACGTCGTCTTTATCAAATCCAAAGTACCTCCAAATAAGCAAGGTACTATTTTTTTCTTTTAGGCACGAGTTCATAGTCAGTAGCGTTCTCGTCATGCGTCTCGCTCTCAGCCTTTACAACTATGACTCGTTGCTGCAGCGTTGTTCGCTCCCCACCTGCGTAGGAGGCGGGCCTCTAATCCATTTGATTGGTTAATGCCGTGAAGGGCTCTATTCGACTGGTCAAATGTATAAAGGGGTTTCTTTGATTGGTAAATTCTTTAAAGCACGTGTGTAAACATTTTAAGGTACTCCATTATCGCAGTTTACGCCGTCTTTTGCGATGGGCCCATCACACAGGCTGATATCGCGATGACAATGAATTTTCGATTTATTGTGCAGGCCTAACGTGTGGTATCTATTTGGCAATGCTACATCGCTTTGTTCCAGAGTTACTGCAGTCACAAATTTGGGTTTCCAGGCCAGCCGCCGACCTGCCTCCCCAGCAGGGGGATGACACCTCATAGCTTTTTACAGCTGAGGGGTGAGAGCTATACCACAATATAGCCATTCAAATATAATGATCTCAAGGGCCGGTGTCCTGCAGGTGTTAGACGTGTCCTTGATCCATCACAGCTGATTCAAACGGCTAAATGACGTCCTCAGCATCTGTGGAAGTTCTCCAGAGGCCTGCTAATGAACTCAGCTGACCCAGGGTAAGATCTAAAACCTGCAGGACAGCGGCCCTCGAGGCCCAGAGCTGGACACTCTGTACACATTTTTTGTACCAATCTGTGTGGCCCTGCGATGGACCCGTGTAAAGTACACCCTGCGCTTGCCAGCTGGGACAGGCTCCGCCTCAGGAAACATCTTTTTCTGCTGGGCTGGGTCCAGGTTTGTTCACAGTCAAGAGTTTGAGCGAGAAGGTTTGACACAGTGACTCCACCAGAGACCCCCTGCACACGATGGCATCTTCCATACCAAGTGCATCCGACTTTACCTTTACAGCAGCAGCAGCAGCAGCAGCAGCATGCTCTCACCTCTCAGCCAGTCCTCAAACGGGGCGTCACTGCTCGAGTCGATGTCAGGCTCTGGTGTTACTGTGATGACTGCCTCTTTACAACACACCTGCAGGACACCATAAATGTGATGTCAACACACACATACTTTTAAAATGTATTCCACTACAGATTACAGATTACATGCCCCAAAATGTATTCTGTAACGTATTCCGTTACGTTACTCAATGAGAGTAACGTATTCTGAATACTTTGGATTACTTAATATATTATCATGCTTTTTACAGCTACATGAATGTCCTATTCATGTGATTTATTACTATTACTGGAGGTCTGCGGCTCCTAACCGTAGTACAGGGACCTCTGGCTAATACGTCGGGCTCGTAGCTGAAAACTAGCTTTACTTTGTTGTGTGGGTCAACTTTGCAGCGAGAGACAGAGAGAGGCGTTGAAAGGCTGCTCCAACGAAGCTTATTGTTTCAGAGGAAAACACGAACACGGTGTACAGTCGAGTCTTAACAGCTTACTTACAGCTGGGCTCGTCAGGCTCTCTGTTTGGCTGCAGTGGTTATTATTATATTTACATGCTTCCAGCTCCCGTTTCTGCTCGTGACAGCTCGTACTTTTCCTTTTTCTCCCTCCTCGCGCTCACAGACACATAACGGAATGGCAGTCCATTCTCCCTGCAGCACGGACTACACTGCCCATCAGGCTACATTCTTTAGGGCTATGCCTGTAACATTCTGCCTGTTAGCTTAGCACAACAACAACAACAACAAAAAGGCGCTCTCTCACCCAGGAAACACACAGGAGAGAGAGCGTCACCCTGTAACCATGGCAACCGTAACGCTGCCGCCTGGAACAACAGAACGTAGCTGTCAAACAAAACCAAACAGTCCTGACCCGCGACAACATGAAACAGGAAAGTACCGCAGTGTAATCCATTTATTTCAACAAAGTAACTGTATTCTGAATACCACCTTTTTAAACGGTAACTGTAACGGAATACAGTTACTCATATTTTGTATTTTAAATACGTAACGGCGGTACATGTATTCCGTTACA